TACGTCCTCTCACATGTAGACTGTCATCCAAAAATAACCCTCGAAATTCAGTCATTATTTCTCCAGTATTTTGACAAACAATTAAGCCATCAGTTAACTTAAAATTTTCGGAAGATTTATTCAACTTGCCGCATCACACCAAAACTTCTGGTAGGAAAACGAAAGTTTGCAATCGTTGGCGTGGTTTCCTTCATTCCTTGGCTTAAAGAGCTTCTTCATGAAGTTTGCGGTGCTGCGCTTCTAAATGATGATTCTGTGAGTCACATTTCTTTAAGTCCAAAATGCGTATGGTAGAGTCTCCTCGATCCTTCTCTACTCCAATCATGGTAGCTGGGTCGCTGAAGCATTAAACGCACAATTTAACTCTTGTTTAGAAAGCTAGTCAGAGCAATTCGCTTGTCTATCCTGTTCATGATCATGAGGTAGCCTTTTGTGGCTTCTTCCAAAGAATTTAGTCAGAACATGACAGTGCAACTTTCCGATCATTTCGAATTTGTGCCGCTAAGTTCTAAATGGTTTTTCTCACGTACGATTTGGTTTGCTGAATATGAGGCATTGACAGCTGCTTTGAACATGGCATTCAGGCACACAGAATTTTTAATTACGCGTACTGTATCTGTATCGTATACGTATCTGCGCGTGCATTAGCCACTCTCAAGCCGTCGCTACACCGTGTAAGATCATCTTATTAGCTCAAAAGCTAGTTCAATCTCCATTTCCTGAATAATCGCTATTTTAAAGCATCGGAACGTCTGCAACTGCTAATCCTAATGCAGCGTATCATCTTGAGTAGTGTTTGCTTTTAAAATAATTCAATAAACCAAATTAGGGAAAAAGCACCGGCGGTTTCCCCATTAATTGTTTCAGTCATATGGAGCTCAGTGACCACAAGATCGACTTTGAACTCCGGAAATGCCGGGTGTAAATTCTGAGAGAGGACAAAATTTGTCTTATCCAATAATCCCGTGGAATTTATCCCACGTTGTTTCCGAGTAGTCAACTGAAAATCGAACTGAGTCAGTTGTTGAATTGCAAACAGCAGGAGCAGCTAGTCAATCTGGTATGATCATAGCAGAATGGGCGAGACGTACGGTTATGCTCCATTATGCTAGAGATTCTTATGGCTGCCCTTCACTGCGGTCCGGCTAATACCTGACTGTTTGGTGTGAAGAATCAGCACAAGGCGCAATGTCGAAGAAAATATTTTAATTCCAAATAATGCATTCATTTCTATATGAACACTATCAAAGCAAAACTTACGAATACAAATATCATGCCTAAAGTGAAGGTATAAAGCATTTCCTCATAACTGCTTTCGTCATATAAACATAATTTTCATCAAATTTGTTTCGTTTCGGATACCTCCGATTTTCCCGCTTCTTGCGTGTTTATGGAGAGCGATCTTTTGGCACACTATTCGTTGTGCCAACTAACGTGAATTATTGCTAGTTTCTTCAACATTCATCCATCCAAACGGTTTCAGAGATTTAAAGCAATTTGTGAAGATTTTGACCTGACAGATATTGTTGTCGAGTAGCGGATGACCACCGTCTTAACCTATCTGAGGGGGTCCTTGCATCGCTTCCAGCCCTAGTTTTAGCAGCAGATAGATAAAGTCGTATAAAGTTGCTCAACAGTTGATCAACGTCGTTCTTCCTTCACTTTCATGACTGAGCCATTTTGGAGCCCTCCTTTAATTAATTTGATGGTGCGGTGCTGATCTCCGTTTCCATGTTATCAGTCAAGAGTGCCTCATTTTTTAAAGGCAGGGTCTACAGCCATGTAGCAAGCGTAGCGCGTAGTCTCCTGTTTTCCTCCACAGAGAGGTACTCATTTTATCAACCTCGGAAGGAAGAAAGGAAGGAAGGAAGGTGAATAATCCCGACCGGGGCTTAAATTCAGACCCTGTCAGTTTTGAGTTCGACGCCTTACCGACTGAGCAACCCCAGCCTATACAGCTACATAAACACCGCTGGTCGAGCTGCACTGCGAAACATAATCATGCGTCGCAGTCAACGAGTGAGGAGTGCACTGACCAGGTTGCACAGGCTGCCGTGAATGTTTGGCTTAGGTCGAATGCTGAATACGACGATTCTCGCCATAAATTTACAGCTGTCATGAAAACAAAGCCAAAGTCGCCTCTGACACCTTTCTGTGAGAAGCGACGAGTCTTAAGAGACTGCTAGCAAACGAGTGAAGGCTCAACCTTGAAATGACAAAGCAGGTAATGTTAGCTTCGTTTTCCAGCAAATCGTCCAGCGGACATGCTTTTCATATGTCGTAACTTCCATGTAGCATCAAGAATATGTCATATGAAAGATTCGCGAAGAGAATCGCTAAACATATGGTAGCAGCGCAGTACAACTTGGAGAAAAAATTTTATCCACAGCTCGTACCCGCTTCCTGAACTATTGTCATGATGGCAATTCAAAAGAACGTGTGTGAACTAAGCATATTCGAACATATTCCTAAACAGAATTATACAGATGACCACTAGGTCCGTTAAAGTCACGTTTAGCAAACTGTCTTAGAGTTAAAATCGAACTGTTCTATAGCCTGACTGACAGACCTGCATACTTATAGTATGTTTCCAAGCAAAGAACGTAAAGTAAATAAAGATGATGGTTAATTTTACGTAGTTGTAACCGTCTGTCTGATATATTGCCGTTCCTCAGAATGAGATTACAAATATGAATAGAATGCTAATGAACATTGAAGGATGGCCTGAAAATGAGGCCGGTCAATTTCGGCCTGTTACTCGCTAACGAACGACAAATGTTAACAAATAAAAATATCACATGCATATCTTCAGTTTTTGTGAACAAGCCTTGTTTGCCACCGATAAAATTAGGGCGGGAGCAATGTCCGTGAAGTTTGGCCGTTAGAGCCACTAGACGTCTCACTGTACTCCAAAGAGTTGTTGTTGTTTTGTCATCGTCATTTGAGGCGAACATAGTTTAAACAGCTGAGTAACCCAGATTAACGATGTCTGACAGCTCCGCAAAGTTACATTTAGATGAATGAAATCTTCATTCTTCTCCTCTGCAACCACTTTCAACGTTCACATGACCGTTACACCGGCATCTTAAGCATGACCTGTATATTTAACGGTGAGTTAACTGCCATTCAGAATTTAAGAAAAAGTTCAGCAAACTTCTGAATCATGATTAAAATGACTAATTCAGTAAACGCTACGCTAATTGCTCCGTGCCAGCTGTTCCTCTCATGCTGATGTATGATGATGAAAGTCATTCTGCGTTTGAATGATACTAGCTAAATCGATTATACAATTTTAAATATCGATAACATATTCTGCCTTTTGTTATACGTACTTCTCCATACGATGATTCAAAAGGTTAGACTCTACGCAATTGTAATGTTGGCATGTGGTATAAGGTTTCGCATTAACTTCGATCCAACTTCTGGAACGATACTGTACATGCACACAGCCTTATCACTTTTCAGGTCTTTTATCTGTTCTGCGACGTTATTCACTGAAATATCAATAGCCATAAATGCATTAAAAAATGTTATATGGCTTCTTATAAAATATCATTTGTCTTGTTTACGTGGAATCTTAGTAGAACTTCGTCTACATTAAGCGTTTA